CGTTTGGGTAAGCTCTAATTGATAAGATTTGCTAAAACAAAATCTTGGTTTGATAGTAAATCAAACAAATTATAGGATGAAGTTTGGTGGGTAAGCATTTTTGAATGTCATAAATCTTATGAAAGAGATGGATCTTTGATAAGATATGTGGATTAAAATATTTGGTTCAAATTAAGGTTTCATCTTATGGCTTATCAACTAATTAAAAGACTTGAAATGGAATCTTTTTTGTTTTGGAAGGAAAGGAAGGAATTTAAGGTTGAAATTGAATAGGTGAGTTATTTTAAGAGTTTTGGACTTAATGAAAAGGGTTTGTTTGCTTGGGTTATAATCTTTTGTGTGATTTAATCATAAACATCAGATTATAATCTTTGTTGGTTGGATAGTTAAACGAAGAAAATTTTAGTTAAAATTTGGCATGTAGGCATGAATAAGGATGAAGAGTTGTGTGGAAGATTCATATTTGAGAAAGAATTCACTGATCTTGGTTGTCCAATTTTATTCATAATGACTATCTAAATGAAATCTTAGCATTTTTATAGCTAACCATGTAGATTTGAGGTTGAATTTGGGGGTTGATCATATCTTATTATCCTTGAGGCAATGAATGTGTTGGACTTAATTTTGTGAAGTCAAGGTTCAAACATTGTATGAATCAGAACTATCAAAAACAAAGTTGGTATTACGAATGATGGATCTTTGGGGTTTGGTTATGAAATTCAATGTGCAACTAAGTTTTAGTTTCCTACGTCTAAGGATTATGTTTTGGGGTATTAAATCCTATAGGTTGTCAAACGTTGATTTCAATGTTCTTATTAATCAGAGGTTAAGTTTATTGGTATAGTATAGTTGGTTATTAAGTGCATAGAATGTGCTAAAAAGAGGGAATTTTGGGTTTCAACAAGTCTTAGGTTGAACTTTATGTTTTCAAGTTTTGGGGTCTCAAAAGAAGGTATAGAGAGGTAGGGTAAAAAGATCAAACAAAAAACTATGTGCTAACAATCATTTTTTCAGCAACATAAATTACCCACCTAATTTTCCCCTAGCTTCTTGTATGTTGAATTTCTGATAGTTTAATTTTTTTTGTTAGTTTATGACTCTTGTCTCTGTTCAACCTTGTTTCGGTCAAAACAAGATGTCAGGGTTTTGGATCTTGCTAACTTATTTAATGTAACTCATCATGCTAGGGTTGTTACTGCTCCTAACATTCTAAGAAATTATTTTTAGGGCGCAAAATCCAAGAAATAACCCCAACACAATCCATAAGCATAAGCAAAATAAGTGAAAGAGATTAGGCTATCAAGGAGCACCTAATGTGTTGAGGCAAGATTATACCATTGAGTTAATACACCACTATTTTCGTTATCATTTGATAGGGGTTTCAACTTGTCAAGCCAACTCACAAGCTACTCGAGCTTGGCTTAAAAAATATTGAGTTGATCCGAGTTCTCGATCCATAATACTTGGCTCAAGTAGCTCAAGAACCTAATCAAGCTTCTAATAAAATGTTATTTTTCAATATATTTTAATTATAATAAATAAATATTAATTTTTTATATTAACTTATTTATAATATAAACAAATAAATTTATAATAAAGTTTCGTAATATACTTTTATTTATAACATTTTAAATATTAATTTATTTATATTTTTAATAGCAACTTATTTTAATTAGCTTAAGTCGAATCGAGCTTGAATAGCTCATGAGTATCGACTTGAGTCAAGTTCAAGCATGAGACTCATAACTTGATCAAGCCTGAGAAGTAGAGAGTCGATTCCCAAATCATAGGAATCACTTATTGAATGTTCTAAGGGTTGGGACATACTCAATAGTTAACTACCTATAAGGTAATAATTGACTACCTGTGAAAATTGAGTCTAGTGTCACACTGGTTTTAATCAGTAGTCAACTATGAAATAGACAATAGTCGACTAATTAAGACAATCAAAACTGAGTTGTAAGTAGTAGTTGACCGCCAAGAGATAGTAATTGACTACCAGAGAAGAAATATTTTTCTCTTGTGAGTAGTAGTCAACTATCAAGACCAATAGTCAACTATACCTACTTTTGACAGGATGAATTAGTTAATTACTTGGTCATGATAGTCGATTAATTCATGAAGAAAAATCTATTTTTGATCATTTGAAGGCTTAACAACTCTTCCTTCTTTTGATATTCCATTAACATTATTTGAAACACATTTTGAATGTTTCCTATAATGGATTGATACTTTCCCAACAACTCTATAATGGTCATATGCTCTCTAGGCTTGATTAATGCTATATGTGAATGAGTTTGATTTAAATAATTTAAGAAAGTAAATTGATTAATTCTATATATGAATGAGTTTTAATTGAATAATTTAAGAAAGTGAATTGAGTTAAAGTGTTCAAAGTGAAAAGAGAGCAAAAATAACAAGAGAGAAAAGCAAGATAAGAGAGTATAAGCTAATAAAAAGAGTTTCATGTTTGTGATAGTGAAATAGCTATTTGAGGCTTTGAGCTATATTGAATCTCACAAGAAATTTAAATTTCTTCAAGTGTTACAACCCATTTATTATTATGCATTATCTTTTATTTGAGTAGTTTCAATTGTATTTGTATATCACCCTTGTAAGGGCATTATATTGTGTCTCATTTGCATATCTCATTATTATCCTTGTTGTATTTGATTGGCTACGTATCATCCTCATTGTATTTTCATATCACCTTTGTAGAGACATTATATTGTTTAGTACTTTGCAAGGTTCTAAATATCGATACACCCGATATGATGGTAGGAGCGTATTGGGCGATATTGATATTGTTTTTTTACTTTTTTTATTTTTTTAAAACCGGTTCAGGGGAGGTTGAAGGCTCCTCCACCCCCTAAACCGGTCAGAACCCTGATTACCCTCTATAGGGGCATATTGGGGAGCTTTCGAAATGATATGTATCGGCCGATACAGGCTGATATGTGTCGGTACTTTGAATCTTGGTATTTTGAGCTTGGCTGTAAGGTTAGGATAGAACTTGGAAGTCTATCTAGTAAAAGGTCTTGTTGGCACTCATAAGTCCAATTGTTGTAAAGGTCTTGCTAGCACTTGCATGTTCAATTGGTGTAAATGTTTTGCTAACACCCAAAAGTCTAGTTGGTATAATTCAAATTCTTAGGTGGTGTGCCTTTTGATTTTTGGTGTTTATTCTTGACATTTCTTGTTGATATTCTTGTTTAATCTTGATACTTTTGTTTACTTTGCATTCCACATATTTATTTTAGTTATACTCTATTGCATTTAAGTTAAAAAAACTCATTAGTTGGGAAGAACCTTGTAAAACCCAATTCACCCCCTCTTGGATTAGGTTATCTAATCCATATAGTATAGGACTACGGGGTGGGGGGTCTTTGTAATTTACCCTTTATTTTTTGTCATCCTTAAGGCTGTATTTGGTTTGAAAGAAAAAGGTAGTGAAAATTTTCTTCCAAAGCAAACACAACCTAACATGAAGTTTTTTTTTCCTTTTAAGTAACTTTCCCTTTTCTTCTCGTTGTCGAAAAGTGAGTTTTTTCCTTGCTCTCTAAGTTCTAGTTTGTATTGATTTGGGATGCAACTTGGGTGGGCCCAACTCAAGACTGGATCAACTCAACTTGTAATTTTACACATGTTGGGCTTAAATTTTCAGTCCTTGGTTAGGGCTTGGGCCCAAAAGTTTAGGCTTTTAATTTTTTTTTTGGGCTTTGTCCTAGCCCTTAGGAAGCCTGACTCCAATCTAAGGCGACCCAACCTTATCTTAGCCCAAGCTCGGCCCAATTATATACATGTATATGTGCATATATAAACACATATTTGTATGCATGCATTTATACATGCATATTTTTCTTTTAATAAACCATACAAATGTATACATGTAGATACACATGTACATCATTTTTTAGTGTGGATTAATTGACCAACTTGAATCCAGCCCAAACTTGGCCCTGGGCCTAGGGCCAAGCCCAACCCAAATGCATTAAATTTTAGTGCTTGCTAAGCTTAGGCTGAATAATTTGGTCTTAACCTTGGGCTTGGTCTTTTAAGTCCAATTCAGAGGGTTGGGCATGGTTTGAGCTAAAACTTGGCTCAACCCGCCAACTTCATCCCTAGTGTTGATTTTTCTACTATGTGTGCTCTCGTGGAAGTCAATTCACAAGTGTTTGTTTGTTGAAGTAAATAGGAAAAATTCTGGATTAATACCTTGTACTTTGGGCCTAGTGCCACTTTGGTCATTGAACTTTAAAATGTGACAATTCAATATTTGAACTTTCAAAACGTGCCAATCTAGTACCTGCCATTAACCAACCACCAATTATATGTATTACATGATGACATGTGCGATTTAAATTTTTTGAAAATGTCAAACTTACCCTTCAAAACATTGTCATCTTTCTTCTTAGGAATTAAGATTGAATCAATGCAATGGTGAACAACTCCAAACCTGCTGGGGTTTCATTAGCTAGGGATTTGATGGGAGTCATTTGGTTTTTATAGGAGTTAGATCATTACCATTCCCTTGCAAAATTGCACAAAAAATTTATATCTCTGTTTCATCTTCTTAAAGAAGAAGATGATGAACAATGTTTTAGTTTTAAGGACATTTGGATGGTTGATAAAGAAAATTAGATGATACCCAAATGACATTTGTTTATTTTCACATGTCATTGGCAGTTATTGGATTGAGACATTTTAAAATAAAATTAGAGGATAAAAGTGGCATTTGCCCAAAGTACAGGGTACTTTTTAAATTCCCAAGTAAATAAAAAGTAATATTTTTACTTTTATAAATATATAATAAATGGACAAAAAATTGTTGACTAACGTCTAACGGTCTCAAAAACTCCTGCTTGCTCCTCCCAAATATATTTTCTGCACTTCTGATTTTCAATATTTTTCTTTTTATTTATTTCTTTCACTCGTCTCTGTGCTAACTTACAGTTTAACTGACACCGCTCCGATCGGTTATGGTAAGCTAAATCCCATTCCCTACTTTTTTATCCTTTTTTTTTTTTCGTAAATATTCATTCAAAAATTAACATGAAGAAAGCCCTAATTGATCCCCTGCAACTGGAATGACGTGGAAATTGTCTGTACTGAGGAATCAAGAAATCCTGTCTCAATTCTCAAATGTTAAATCTTAGGCCTTGGGTTCTTGATCATTGCGTTGCTGGTTTCATTTGGATTTGACTCAAGAAAGTTGGAAAGTTTTCAGTATGGATTCGTAAGGGTCCAGTTTTCTGTTGCAGGATCGTAATCTGTGAACAGGGTTTTGGTTTTAGCTGTCGAAGATTTCATAATTCAAATCCTGAAGGTTTAGTAACAACGGGGTTGTAATATCTGCACATGCAACTTGATAGACGAGGGAATAATTGGTTATAGCTAATAGGGTTGATTTCGAGTGTGCCTCACAATGAAGACCAGTGATCGTCTTGCAAATTTGGCTCTAGCAGGTATTGCTTTTCTCTTCATCTGAAGAACAAGTATTTAGCTATGTTTCGGTTCAGTGTGGGAGATGAGAGTTTATTCATTTGTTCACCATTTACTTTCTGCTTCAAGTTATTTTTTTGATCAGTAAATAGTTTCTGCTTGAATCTAAGGTGACACTATATTGGATTCCGGGCTTAACTCTTGTGGTTCCAATCATTTGACAAATTTTCTGTCTTGCATTTTTTTTTCTTGTGCGATTAGATTTCCACTTCGTCAACAAATGCTTTTCTTGAAAGCAATACTGCTATCTGCAAATGACTTGCTGTACGGTTTTGGAATGTCAGTTTCCGCTGCAGTATTGACAGTTTTGGAATGCCCTTTTCCGCTGCTAAATATTGACAAGCATGTTTTTGATCGTTTAGATTTTTTGCAACCATTCCTGTGCAACTTACGATGCTTCCCCTAGGTTGCGTTCACTGTGTTGCATGTGTGGAAAATAGGAATCAGGGAAACTCTGTTCTTTATTGCCATTTAAGGAAGCGTTGATAAAAATTACCATGTAAGAAAATTGAGTAAAGCAATTTGGACGTCCTTTTCTCTTGGTTAATTTTAATTGAATTTCAAGTTCTTTTAATTGGTTAATCCATATGGTTACTAAGAAAAATTCTGGATAAATGAAGAGTTGGCTTGTTCTGGAGTCCACTTATTCTTTTCTGCAGCAAATGATCAACAATGTCAATCTGGCAGCAGGAGCAATAGGAATTTTGGAGGCTTTTGTTTGAGAGATGCCAGTAGAGTCACATTCTGGAAATGGTTCTTTGTTTTTTACAAAGAATTCTATTGGCAATTATCATGTGGGGTTTTCATGATTGTTATGTTTTGAGGCACTGCCTGGTCCATAGATTGATTGTTCCTTCAGAAAGACAGAAAGTAAGGTTTTTGTAGTGGTTGAAGTGGGTAACCTAAAATGCTTGGCTTGGATACAAGTTCTTCTAGTTTGAATCTAGATATGTAGGACAGATCTTTGGTGATTTGGAATCTGATGGTGGCGACATTTGAAAGAAAGCTTGCTACATGGAAAGCAGTTTACTTTCCCAAGGCTGGTAGACTTACTTTATGAAATTGCATATTTTCAATCCTTCTGAATTACATCCTATCTTTCTTCTATTTTATTGTTTGGAAACAGCCTCTCTCTATACAGGGTTAAGATTGCGTACATCTCTATCTATCCCTCCCCAGACCCTGCATTGGCGGGAGCCTCGTGCACTAGGCTCTGTTTGGAAAAATAGCAATACTCTTTACTAATAACATTAGGTTCTGTTTGGATAAGCTTTTGCTTTTGAACTTAAGTCTGTAGAAAACAAAAATGAGCCAAAAAGTATTTTGGACATTTGGTTAAGAATTGCTTTTAAAAACATAACAATAGAGCCAAAACACTTTTGAGCCCTGAAGCACAAAGTCTAAAATTGAGGCTTTGTGTTGTGAAGCCTATCCTAACACTATCTTAACTTTCCTCTCAAAACATGTTAGATCATCATCTAAAAGAATATATCATTTAAAATCTATTATTTTCAATATTTTAAACACAAAAGTTTAATAGAGCAATTGCATGTCAAACAATTATTAGCATCTAATGAATTGGGGGAGTCTTTAAGGGATGAATATGGAACAATTTTAGCTTTGTTTTCTGGCCCTATAGGTATTGGAACCTCTGTCAATGCTGAACTGACTGCATCCTTGCAAGGTTTGGAATTGGTAAGAACACTAAATTGGAGCAATGTGCTACTGGAAAGTGACTCAAGAGTGGTAATGAGCTGGATGAAGCAGTAGGACAAGAACAATGCCAGTCAATAGACATTTAGAGGAAATCAAGAGATTAAAAAGGGGAGAGGGCTTTAATTTCAATTGGGAACTAATGTGAGTGGGGTAAGGAATGGAGAGTTTTGAGTGTCATAAGGCTGAATGGAGGACTGTTTTTGTTCATGTTTCATGGTAGAAAGGAGGTGGAGTGGGTTCTGGAGTCTGAAGCCAAGTTAAATAGGGGTTGTGACTTACATTTAAGCTGGTTGTTTCCAGCAGCAGGACTTATTGAAGAAGGTAAGAGGAGAAAGACGAATCTTTCAGAGTGATTGGGGATGCCTGCGGTAAATTCTTGAACGCTGATGAAAGCAATGGGACATGGGAGAAAATTAACATTGTGAGAATCTTGGTGGAGGTTGAGGAGGTCTTTTCCATTTCAAACTATTTAGTTCTGGCTTTTACAGGTGAAGAGTATGGTCTAAGGATTTTTATTGAGGGAGAGGACCATTGTTTTTAGAGTGTTTGACGAGAGGAGAGAAGGAAGGATGAGAAGATGAAGTTGGAGTTTCAAGTTGAAGAGGGGACGATGAAGCATCGTTTGAATGAGGAAGACGATGGAAGGGAAGATTCAATAGGCAAAGTGGTAATTTTGGATGGGTATGAGGATTTAAATGAGAGGCATGTAGATGAAGTTGGTAAGGAGAGTATGAAAAGGTGCATCTTAGAGGGGTGGAAGTTTAAGTGAGTCACTTGAAGTGTGTAGGTGCAAAAATTAAAGGCTCACAAAGAAATAAGCGCCAAGGTTATGCTATTTAAGAGGAGGAGAAAGATTTTCACAAGCTTTAAACCGGCAAGGCAGAGGAATGGGTCTGGCTCATCGTAAATTTGACGGGTTTGGAAGAAAAAGTTTGAGCCTAAAGAATGAGGAGAGTCGAGTTGATGAGGAGCATCAACGTCTTGCGTGCAATGAGGCTAAGTTCGATAACGTTGGGAGTTTGGAGAGGGAGCAAACATAGCTTAACCAGCTAAAAGGTAAGTTTATTTGTTTTGGTTCTTTTGTGGTTGAGATCCCTGCTGATCCACCTCAAGTGGGGTGGCTGGTTTCATCTGACTGGAAAGCTGCTAGTTTTGAGGGAGATGGGGGAAGAAAGGAGGCTAGATCAGAGGAAGGTGAGGAAGGAGTAAGGGGGGAAGAAGGAAAGGAGGGAGGGAGCTTGGAGGAGGTGAAACTAAGAGGTTGGAAGCAAGTAGTCACTTTGAGGAAGCAAGAACAAAAGAAGAGAGTGGTGAACTAGAAGCTCAAGAAGAGTGTTTCTGATATGAAGTCCCAATTGGAAAATTTGGATTAGATTTAGGCCGAAGTAGGATCTTTGAGATCAAGGGATGAGTTAGCACTAGAGACAGTGAAGAAAGCAAAAGAATCAAGCAAATTCCATCTTGTTCATGTGTCAAAAGTGTTATCATCTTTGAAAGATGGATTAGTTGGTGCTGGTACTACTGATAAATTTAAGAAAGTCTATGAGAAAAGAGGTCCAAAGGGTAAAGGTTCGAAGATGAATAGTGCTGAGATCCGGGGAACCAAAGGTCAAGGGTCAGTAGGGGTTGAGTTATAGTGGATATTGGCTTCTGAAGAAGATTTGGAGCCGAGGTCAGAGTTTGAGGAAAAGGAGCAAGGGGGTGTTTAGGATAGTTAGAAGAACTTATTTGTGTCATCATGAACTGGTGCGAGTGAAAGAGGGGGGGGGGCAGGTGGAGATTGAATTTTTGGTTGATAGGGATGTAAAGGTGGGCAAGAGCTTAGGTCTGTTTTTTGGGGCAGAGAGTGGTTTGCTAGAAGGGCTTTTGAAGCACTTGAAACAAACAAGAAGGAAAAGAGCTTGAAGATACTTGAGAGGCCGTGTTTTAACTTTTAACCTATTTTTTGGATCAATAACTGAATTAATTTCATTAAAGAAAATTAGGGAAGTACAAAGAAAGGGAGATATAAACTCTCTTAACTCACCCAAGCAAAAAACAAAATTACAACATAGCCCAAAATACATGATTTCTTCCCACCCCTTGTTTGGCCAGTCTGTCAGCAAAGCAATTAGCATCTCTTTTTACTCAATTCAGATTAACTTCCATTCCTTGTGTCAGCCACTTAAAACTTTTTTTTTCTCATTAATGTAGTCCCACCACCCCATCTCCTCTTTCTGAAGCCAGCGTATAACCAACTTAGAATCCCCTTCAATTTTCAGTTTTGAGATGTTCAATTCCTTGGCTTTATGAACTCCTTCCATAACAGTTAAAATTTCAGCCCTCAAAGAATCTCCTGCACCTATAGGACTAGAATATAAAACAATTATTTTGCATTCCTCATTTCTGAAAACTCCTCCTATGCTTTGGGGACCTGGATTTCCTTCACTACTACCATTAACATTCAACTTAATAAATCCACTGACTGGGGGAGACCAAGAAGGCTTAATGACGGCCTTCAAAGGAGCAGAATCCGCCACTTCCAGATTCTCATCAGATCTGCAGTAGAAACACCCTCAAATAATTTTAAGGTTTTCATCTAGCCAGTGGACCACTCTAATGGTGATGGCTTCAATTCGGGCTTCTCAACTCCTCTCTTTTTCTGCAAATGTTCTCTGGTTCCTCTCTTCCCACATTGGCCAACAAACTGTTGCTCTCATACACCTCCATAAAATTCTTCCCCTCTTCTTCTGCCAACTAACGGAGGTAGGGCCAAATAGGCTTTGTACTTTTAGCCTGGAGGGGGGGGGGTTCCACCTACACCCAAATTGAGGATACGAAGGAATAGGAGGTTAATAAGTGATGGGAAGACTCACCAATGCCTTGCAAAGGTGACACCAGTGAGGAGATAATCACCAATTAGGTCTTTTCCTTTGAAGCTGGTCATGTGTGTTAATTCTTTCAACCACTCAACAGAGCTGCACATTCCACTACTTCATTTTGTTGTAAATTAATACCCACAAACTGCACTTGGCCAGATTTATCTTCAACCCTGAAATCTGTTCCACTACCTCTAAGATTCTCCTAAGAACTCTCACATCCTATGGCCCTTTAAACTCCACCATGATAATCATGTTACAAACAGCATATACGAGACAATTTGTTGTTATCTTCCTACTCTGAAGCCTTTTAGAAATATTTCTCTTATCGGCCCTCTTTAGTGATTTGCTAAACACCACTATCAAAATGAACCACATAGAGGATAATGGATCTCCTTGTCTCAATCCACTTGTTGCCTAATATAATTTCTTTTGGGGTTTCATTTTTGAGAAATGAGATGTTAGTCGTCCTTAGGCACCCAATGATCCTCCTAATCCATCTATGTCATAGTGTTTTTAAAAGAGCAAGGGCCCTTTTGCGCTCAAGGCTCAAGGCAAGGTGCATGCCTTTTTGAAGTGAGGTGCATAAACATAATATTAATTAAAACATACTTAAATTTATAATACTAAATGTTTTAAAAAGCCTATTAGCTCAAATTAAAATGCATAAATATAACACATAAAACATATGCAAATTGAAGATGTAAAAATAAAATTATACATAACACATAAAACATATTCAAGCACTTGAAACTTTCAAGCTTTTTATTTCTTGTCCAATTGTATTACTCTAATTCTATGAGCTACTTTTTATTGAGCCCCTTAGGGCAAGCCCAAATAAGTCCATACTATGGTCATACTTTTAAATTCTTAATCCCTACTTAAAAAGTTTGGTTTTATAATTTAGTTTTAGTTCCTTATTTTTAAAAAATGAAGAATGAAATGAACAATATATTAGCAAAGTTGGGGTTCTTGATTGGGGGCCCAGGGGTAGAGCCCCCAGCCCAGCTACAGAAGTACAAAAAGCACCAAATGTAATGAAGGCACAATCTTGGATTAAGGCGCAGGTCGCACCAGGTGTATGCCTTTCTAAAGTGGCTGTCAGGCCTAGGTGAGGCACAGGCCTTGAAATGTAATTTGCCTATGAGCCTAGGCATGCCTTAGGTGCACTTTTTCAATCACTGCTATGACCAAGGCCCATCTTTCTCATTGCTCCTCTTAGATACTCCCAATCAACATGACTTTTACACCTTTTCTGTAAATAAAATTTGTACACAAAACCTTTCTTCCCCTAAAATCCCCAACTGCTTCATTTGCTATCAAAATTTCATCTAGAATCTAGCAATTTGGTGAGCTATAATGCATCAACCATCCATTATTTTTGTTTATTTATTTATTTATCTAATTTTGTTCCTTATGTCTTATTTCTTATAGTATGGCTCAAGGAGACTTGCTTTTATTTTATTTTTTGGTTACAGGTTTAACTTTGGCACCACTGGTTATGAAAGTAGATCCAAATCTAAATGTCATTTTAACAGCATGTTTGACTGTTTATGTTGGTTGCTATCGGTCAGTCAAGCCGACACCACCATCAGTAAGTATGACCATTAATAAGATTGAAGTGTCTTTTGAGAAAATAGTGTTATACATCAATAAAAAAAAGGAAAATAATGATATACCAAGACAACTAGATTGGCATGTTATGGTCTGTTTCAAACCCATGTTTGTTGAGTTTAGATCCCTTAAAAGCTTATACAACAGTACAATTTTGCATCTTATGAGGTTATCATAAAGTTGTCACCACATTGCCTCTCTTGAAGACTCTTCCATTGTGAGAGGGTCTGGGTCTGAGATTTTTTTTGATCAATAACTGAAATTCATTAATAAATCAGAAAAATGGAGGATACATATAAGGAGAAGATAAACTCTCTTTACTCCCCTGGATAGAAGCCATAAGATGGTTTATAGCCAAAAAATTAGTGTGTTTATTCCCACCCCTTGTTCAGCTAAAGAATCAACCATGGAGTTGACATCCCTCTTAACCCATTTCAGCTTGACATCCATTCCTTGTGTCAAGTGTCTAAATTTCTGTTTTGCATTCATCTAAGCCCACCATCCCCTCTCCTCTTTTTGAAGCCAGCCAATAACCTGCTTAGAATCCCCTTCAATTAACACCTTAGTAAGGCTAAGCTCTGTGGCTCTCTTAGCTCCTTCCACCACAGCAAGGATTTCCGTTCTTAATGAATCCCCAACACCAATGGGCATCTATAAAAGTTTGGGATCAGTTCTTGTTGGATAAGTGTAGATCGTTTATTYGTTTGTTTTTTTATATTGTTCTTTTCTTGTCTACAGTTAAACATGATTGCATTTTTATCTGACATCACTTATTCATGCAGGAGACAATGTSACATGAACATGCTAAGCGCTTTCCCTTAGTTGGTAGCGCAATGCTCTTATCACTGTTCTTACTGTTCAAGTTCCTATCAAAAGRCTTGGTTAATGCTGTGTTGACATGCTACTTCTTTGTACTTGGGATCATTGCACTTTCGTATGTTCTTCCTACATGGGCATGCTAGTATATTTTTTTCTATTGATATGAGTTACATGTGACTAATAATTTGTTGTTGTCTTCATTTTCTAATTTGTGCTGTTTTTTCCTATCTTCAGTGCAACATTACTACCTGCTATTAGGCGTTTTCTTCCAAGAAATTGGAATGGGGATTCTATTAGGTTGCATCTTCCCTATTTTCGTTGTATGTGATCTCGTTCCTTTTCCCTTTGTTCTTGCAAATGCTTATTTTGACTTATTCCTATTAGTTATTAAATTATTTCTGGGTGTTTTTGTGTATGATTTGATGCACTAAGGTGCATCTGTTTGTGATCTCATGTGCTTATGCTGAACAAAAAAGTTCTTTTATTTTTTCTTTTTCATTTTTTTAAGATAGACATGGAAACAAGGTTTAAACATTGGTTTTAATGTAAATGATGAAACCTTTGTTTTCTTCCCCTCTCCCCCTCCCCTCCACTAAACTAGTAATAAGGAAAAGAAGCCACTTAACTAGTGATAAAAAAGAAGGGCTGTTTATCCTTTGATAGGTGGAAGAATACTTTAAGTACTGTATTTCGCAACATGTTAATGCACTCTGCGCAGAATTGTATTTTTTGTTCTTCTACTTATCCTTTGATAGGTGGACATCTGATTATATCTTTACTATGCAGAATGATGTTTATCTTTGTGCCTTTCTTACACAGCTGTGGAGGTTGAGTTCACGAGATCTCAGATTGTTGCTGCAATCCCAGGATCTTTTTTCTGTGCATGGTATGCTAAAGAGAAGCATTGGCTAGCCAACAATATATTGGGATTAGCATTCTCCATTCAGGTCTAGTTATGTTCTTAATAAAATAATTGTTCATAAATTCTGTTTTCATGCTGTTTTGTATTCTGAAGTAGATGGCCGAGGCTATCTATCATTCTAAAGTACTCTTGTACACATCATTTTTTTATCTTAATGAATATAGTGTTTATTACTGATCATAAAATGCTGTTAATGAATAATTGGGATTGCATTTTGAGTTATTGCTGAAGAGAGAAAAACCATTGTTGATTGATCACTTTGAATTGTTAATGAACCGAGGTTAGAAATTCAAACTTCTTGGGGTTTTAGGATAAATTTGATTTCATGGTTTCTTTTGGGTCTATACTTGTTTTGCATTATCATTATTCTGTTTGATGCATAAGTTAATAAGGTAACTTATCACTGGCAATGTTAATATACATGCTCTAGTAAGGAAGCCCAATTGGTGATGTTAGCCATGCTTTATAATAGTGTTAGACAATTCCATGGAATGAACTAGCTTTTTGTGTAGGAAAAGTGGCAGGTATGGGACAGATAAAGTTAGAAGTGCTCTTAGAGGAACATTTTAGTAGTTCTAATAGGTGTTTCTAGAAGAAAAAAAGTTGTCTACTTATTGTGGCATATCTGGAAAAATAGAATGAAAAAGTATTTGACAATAAGAAACTTGACCCACCGCAGATTATTGAATGGGCTAGAAAAGCTTTGATGGAGTACACAAACAGTTAGTAGAGCCACAACAATTGGCCAGAAGGAAAAGAAACGGGCCTGGACAAAGTCGACACAAAATATTGCTGCTGCTAAGATAAACATTGATGCATCTATGAAAGGGATGGGCCATACAAATTTGGCTATATTTTGAGGGGTTCTAAGGCAAAATCATAGAAGCAAGAACAGTGAGTTTTGGAATCACTTAAGTCAACATGGCTGAAATATGGGCTGCATGGAGGTCCAACACATGGCACCCCAGAAGGCATTTACTGAAGTCGAAGTTTGGATTGAGGGGGATTTGGAGATAACTATAGAGTGTCTTAGGAACAACTACCTACCACCATGGTGGTGTAAAATCTTAACTACAGATGGCCATAAAGTTGCAATACTGTTATCATTGGAAATTCACTACAACTCTACAAGCATAGTAAGAGAGAAGAAAATGAAGCTGTCGACTAGTTAGCCAACTAACCAGTCCGAATGTACTGGCTCACCATACTAATTGATGAGGCCAAGAAAAGAAAAAGAAAAAAAAGAAAAAAGTGGGTATTCTGTTTTGCGTGTTTTTGTAGTAGGACCCCAAATTTTTGTTTTTTGGGTAGCTTTGTTGACACTTTGGTACCAGGGGTATTTTTGTGATTTATAATTTAGATTTTGGTTAGGGGCAGTTGGGTGCACATCTGTTGGGTTTTGGTCTCTTGGGTCTTTTTGTAACAAAACTTTTCTTTTGGGGGGTTCATTGAAGTTTGTTTTGTTCTAAAGGAGTTGCTTGTGAGAGGGAAAAATTCCAGGGGCTTATGTGTAAATATTTTAATTGACTTCTCCAGCAAGCCATTGGGTCTTATAAAAGAGAAGGGGGCTTTTTCTGTAGGGGCCTTTTTGATTATTTCTCTCTTGTTTGAGTTGTAGCTCAGCCCCAACTAGGGTTTTCAAGTATTGGGAGCTTGGGTTGTAGCGGCACATTGCAGATACCTTCTTCTTCCCCCTCTAGCTTAGAGGCTACACAACCCATTCTTTTCTGTTGCTAAAGTAAAAATGGGTTTTGCTAAAATGGCAGTGCTGGGTGCTAGCTTTAGGATAAAGCAGCAGCTAGCATGGTTCTTTTAGAGAAACCCATCTGCTTGCTTAATAAAACAGAGTTGGGTTTCTACTGCCGTGGAGGTTGTATTGGTCTTAAGAGAGGTTTCAGACACAGAAAGAAACGCATGTACTTTGAGTAGAAAGAAAGACGGAGAAGGAAGAGAGGGGAAACATGTGAATCATGCAAAGAGAAAGAAAGAAACATGTCTCTCATGTAATAATACGTATCGCACATGCAGACATATTTCAATTTCTTAAAGGTTTAAAGTTGGCCGAATAATGCAATTGTAAAATTTCATACGTATGAAGTGTGAGCACGTGGAGATCTACAGTAAGATTCCATTTTGCGAAAGGGGAAAGCACCCCTTTCGCTTTGATATATATATATATATGTATATATATAAGATTTSTTTGTCTTCCTCTTCTCCCTTTTCATTTTCCCTCTGCCTTTTAGGAAAAAGCAGCAGAGTATTCAATAAGTCTTGAGCTTCCAGGGCACAACATCTCTTTGTTCTCTCCCTCCCCCCCCGAAAAGCAAATAAACCTTCCAATCTGCTTGTGCCATGTGTGCTCCACAAAACCCTACCTGCCTTGTCTTCAACCTCAGCTTCCGATGCCACCCAAAGTTTCCACCATCTCCCTTCTGTGAAGAAGTCGATCGTACGGGGAATCCTATCAGGTTTATTGCTTGCTACTGTAATCTTCACAGCATGAAGGTCAGCAGTGCAAACATCTTCCACTACTACATTACATGCACCTGCTAGCYTATCGAAGACCTGATCCATCCACAAGTTAAAAGGTGGACCAAAAATCTTCGAGATCACACTCCCTCCAGGTACTGAAATTTCATTGCAAGAAGGTGTTCAGTTTGCCACCGTCACCGAACCTTCCGAAGTTTCAAAAATCATGAGCTTTGCCTTTGAATTTCCAATATCCAGAACTGCTTTACTGTCATTGAAAGGATTAATCACACCCCAATCCGCATTTGGAATTCTAATCATAACATCGTTAAGAATCCTCTTCTTGCTGTTCACTGTCAACATTTTGCTCCAATCTTCCTTACCTCCTCTCATAGTGAACTTTGGGACGCTATCAGCTCCTTCAATTGTTGCCTCTTGAATCCCTTTATGTTCCTCTGACTCCTGAAACTTCTTCTCCACCCCCAAACCTTTTAACTTTTGTTTTTTCAGGCAGCATGTTTCCTCATACTCCTGCAGCACCTCAGCAAACTGCAACCCATCCCTGTCTATTTCTTCCTTCCGGCAAACAGATAGTTTGATCTATCCTCATAAAACATCCTTTATTATTGACTATTTTCTCAATTGAGAAGAACTTCCTTTCCTTTCTCAACTCACTCCTCTAGCCAGGTCTGGTCTCCATATGGCTTGCTCCCTCGACAAATCCTTTAATCCAACCTGTAATGAATTTGGACATGAAAACTGTGGACCTCCCTTCCTCTTCTAACATCAAAACCTATCCCTCCTTAGATTCCTCTACCAGAAAGCTCTTCTTCTTCACCGCAAATCTTTTCCTCCAAATCATCTTCCCCTCCAAATCAACTAGATAGAACTTTCAAGACTGATAAAATAATTGACCTGGGAAAAATACCTGAGAGGGAAGTCAGGTTAGGCATAAGAATTTGTATCTTTTTTCTTTTTTCACTCTCGTTTTCTTTTAGTTGGAGGTGATGGATTTTCTATAAGTTTCTTTGGTAGATTGGAGGCTGGTTGAAGAGGAGTTGTATAATGAAGAGGGGGTAAGAGGGGGAGAGGAGATCTGAACAAAGGGAAGGTGATAATAGGGCTAAGAACTTGGAGAAGGGGAGGATGAAGCAGGTAGAGCTTTCTAGATTGATAAAGTGGTTGACCTAGAAAAGTTAGTTAAGAGGGAAGGCAGAAGTGGAAAGGCATTAAGTCTTTCTTTTCTTCATTGGAGAGATAGCAAATTTTCTATAAAATTCTTCAGTGCATTGCAAGAGAAGGAAAAGCAGCAGAGTCCAGTAGGTCAAAGGGAAGTTTGAGACCATGGTATTGACTTTAGAAGGCATTATGGATGAGGCTGGGCATTGAAGTTGGGTTTGAAAGAGTAGGCCTGGTGCTGTAGTTACAGGATGCTTGAGTTTGGTGGAGAATGACAATCAGTCCAGCATAAGTCAGATTGAACAAAAGTATCAATCAGTGTAATAAATCTGTTTCAGGTGAGACTAGAAGAAAAAGTGAAGAAAAAGAGAGAACAGATTGTGAGGCTCAATGTGAGACCCTGTTATGTTTTATTACTGCTGAAAAAATAAGGCAAATTACATCTCTTCCTTTAGTAGTTAGGATGTATCACTAATAAGAGCCAATGAAGAATAAAATAGGCCCATGACTCATTTATTATCACCCAAAGACTGCTACCAAATAAAAAATAAGAAAGAATCAGCCGCAAATAAGAAAAGAAAAAGAAATCTAAACAAATTTATCAAAAAAAAAAAAAGAAATCTAAACAAACTAATTCATTCTTTTCTATAAGTCCAATCCAGGGTGGTGGTGGTGGAGCTTCTAAGGATGTTCTCAAACTTTTAAGTTGGGCCTGGTGGTTGTTCAAGGAAAGGGACCTTCAAGTAGTGGGAGAGGAGCTAATTTGTATTTGATTGGGGGATTCTAGGGTTTTTGTTATCATACTTTGAAGTGCCAGAAGATTTGTAGTGTCTTCGAGTTCTTAGTGGTTAACATGTGGAGATTGTTGAGCAAAAGAAGAAGTAGAAGAAGAGAGAAGTGGCTGCAGACTTAAGGCCTCAAAAGAACTGCTTCATGTGAGTGAAGCATTTGTATTTATACTATACTGGCTGTACAACACAAGAGGTTTACAAAATTACAAAAATACCCCTGTGGGCACTAAACCTGCGTACAATACATATAATACACCTGTCAACACTCCCCCTCAAGTTGGGGCATAGATATCAATCATGCCCAACTTGTCACACAGACCTTGGTGTCTGGAATGGTTTAGCCCTTTTGTAAAGATGTCTGCTAGTTGGTCTTCAGAGCTGATGTATGGAGTGCATTACTTCGCCTGTGATGATTTTCTCTCTGATAAAGTGCTTGTCAACTTCAATGTGCTGCCGGGTTGGCAGCGATACTTATAGCTGCCTTGTTGTCATAGAGTAGTCATGGGTTTATCTACTAGAAAACCCAACTCTCCCAATAGATTCTTTATCCACATACCTTCGGCTACTCCGTGTGCCATTGCACGGT